TCTCAAGTAATAAATCTCATTAAATACATATTTCTCATTATCAATTATGCAAAGAAATACGATAGATTGTATTATATTACGTATAAAAGTGAAAGAACATTAACGCGCATGCGTAGATAGAAACTTTCCAGGTTTCTTTAGCTACGTTTCTAATAATAGAATTCTGGGAATAAAAAAAAACATTGTAACTTAAAAAGTTGTAGAAAAAAAAGTGAGGATAAGGATAAGGAGAAGAATTAATAAAAAGAAATGGGAGGAGAGAGGTGGACAATAACAAAGAAAGGGTGCCCTAAAAGCGTGGAATTGATATTACAGGAAAGTGCATTGTAAGAAGGTTTCCTTAACTACCCTAGACCTATGGTAGATACTCTTTCTGACAAGTTTGACAAACAACACCTTCTTATAGAACAGGAAATGGTTTTTCATGTTCTCTTTTATCTCCTGTACTCCTTATACACCGTCGACCGACAAACAACGACGCAGTTCTTTCAAGTAGGTTAAGTGGAGTGTTTGGGAAGAAGTCAGCGCCTTGGGGCCGTCTGTTTAGCTTATCTACAACAGAAAAATTACAAAATCCTTTTAAAGATCTATTCAAAGAGTTGCTATTATAAACGAAGTGAATTTTCCAAAGGAAAACTCAAAGAATATGAAGAAAGAAAGTTTATTGAACTTTTGCAAAACTCTACCAGTTTATGGACTGTATATGAATAATTTTGAAGATTACTTACGATTTATCAAGTTTATAAAGAGAAATTATTATTAAATATGATGGCGTCCATTAAGAAAATTGGCTGTAAAATCGTTATCAAAATAATATACGTATTTCTTTTATTTAAAAAAGGCGGGAATCGATTAATATATTATAAATTAGATTTGTTCAATTTACTGATTTACAGGCAATCTGTAACATACAAAAAATATTTTCGACAAAAGAAGAATAACGACGCCCTAAGGAGACGGTTCATTTAATATTGGTACAGGATATTCTGAAATATAATTCTACTTTGAATCTACAAAATGTAGAAGTAGGGTTTATATGAGAAAAAAGCACACTTTTTTATAAATCTTTTTAACTTCCGTGACCTATTGTCCCCTCTCTCTCCCTCTTCCCCTATCTCTCTCTCTCCCTCTCTCTTTGTAATATACATCATATATGTGTGTATATGCATCTCTGTCTCGTGATTTGTCAAAGCCTGAAAAGTTTTTGTAGAAGATACGGTATCGAGGCTGTCTTGTTATCTCAATTATCTTTCCTTCTCCCTCTTTGTATACACAATCAACACTTAATTGATCCGCGGAGAAGATAAAAGTAAATTGTCCAATATTAACTAAAATCATCTGCTGTTTAAATAATTAACAATAAAATTAGTTAGAAATATTAAGACAATACAATTATCAATTTTATTTAATTAATAAATAAAGTAAATTTTTAGCAATATTCCTTTATTAGATTAATAATAAGAGCATCATATAAAAGAAACAGCTAAACAATTTTTTGTACGACAAGAAAATTATTCATTTCTCTTTTTTTTTCTTCTTGTTTTTTTTCTCCTACCAAAAATTAGCCTGATTAAAAAATGTCCCTTTGGGGAAACCTCTTTTTTTGGAAGCTAATTCTGTCCTAAAACTCCCCTAGACCTATTCTGACAAATATTTAGCTGTTTTTCACTAGAAAGACTTAAAGGGGAAAAACAATCAGCTGGACATAAAAAAGAAAAGGATTTGTAAAAAACCAACGGGAGGGAAAAGAGATAAATGTATAGCTAGATAGATATATTAGATGGAAAAAGTGAATGCAAAGGGAAGAGGGAAGAGAAATAGAAGAGAAAAAAAAAATTATTGTCTATATATTTCAAAGAAAAATGATTCTCTCAGAAGCTAATTACTGTTTTAAAAGTCGTCTTCATGAGAATTTTCCTTTGTATACCTGGAGAGACTGTCATTTTTCGTCATGCCGTTTTGCATTCTTTTTAAAGAATACCTATAAAATTGATCGAAATTTTCCTTTCTTTCTCTTTCCACTATAATAAAGTATTTGAAAGAATATTATTTAGATAGATTACAAATACAAGTTTATATATAAACTATATAAACATACAATTTAAATTAACGCCTATAATACATAAAGAATATTCAAAAACACCATTTACATAATCTATGTATAGAGGTCGTCTTAACCTTATTTTTTCAAGGCTATTCAGTATTTTCTTAATATTATCGTTTCAAATATTTACTTGTATCGTTTAATTATTTTTAATTAAAATAATAAAAAGGAATTGCCTATCATTCATACATGTATAACAGCTGCTTAAAAAAGAGAAAAATCTAACAAATATGCGTAAAGGCCTTTTACAAACAATCTTCTAGTTGATTCAGCTTCTATGATAAATAGACTTTTGAATTTTGTTGATCCTAAAGCATTTTAACTTTCTTGTTCCCTTGTTTTCATTTCTTTTCTTTTCTTCTTTCATTATAAGACTAGCATGTTTTACTTTTTGTTATGGCTTCATTTATGAACTCTCTCTCTCTCTCTCTGTTTCATTGTCTTTATTTCCATCTTCTTCTAGATTTTTATAGCCCTTTTTTCAAAAAAAAAAACTATATAGCTTTTCAGTACGCTATAACTTATGCTGGATAAATAATTGCAAAACAACATATGCACTTCCGCATCGCCTTTGGCCTGTGGCTAAAGTTTTACCAAACTTAACTACATTCCTCTTAGTTCCAACCTTTATATAATTTTCCCTCTTTAGTACATAACATTTTCTGTCTCACGCAATCTAAATGCATATAATACTTTAAAGGTAAATGTATCGTTCACGATAACAATTAGGTAAAACTACTATTATTATAGGCCTTTTTTCTGTGTCTAAACCAATATGAATGTGTGTATGGAGATAGCTTTAATAAAATTCAATGTAACGTATTTTTGTAATGCTTGTCTGTATTCATAATTTTTTCTTTTAAATGGAAAAACCATTTAGAAGGATAAGTGAATCAATAAAGTAAAACAATCCAATGTATATCCATCTATATATTATTTTATGATCTACGGATCGATTAAAACTATGTCTATAAGCATGGTAATAACGTACAAGTCAGGCATTAGCAACTTATAATATAACAAGGAACTAGAGATAAAACTCTAGTTCTGGTGACGATCGGAAAATATTGTATATTTCCATAAGGGATTTATAACAAGGAAACCTTAAAATAATGAGAGAAAGTCGGAAAATGGAGAAAGTTTTCACCTATACGGATATAGAAGAGAGGAAGAGGAAAGAAGAAGAAAAAGAAGAAAAGTAAATGAAATATTAAAAAATTAACATAAAGAAATCTATGAAAATTTTAAAATGAATAAAACCAATAGAATAAGTGAAAGTTAGAGAGAAAATCCATAATTTCAAGTGTAAAAAATATACCTTTAATTTTTTTTAATATGTAAACAGTATGGAATTTGTGTACTTAAGGATAAATTTATCACACAAATTTGCATTAGAAAAATAGGCAAACCGTTTGGGCATTTGGGCCGTTTCACTCGGTTTTGTTAATATTTAAACAAGTTTTCTACAGACCGAACAGTAAATCAGTGGAGAAGGAAGAAATTAAAAATAAATCATTTGTCAATCTTTCTTTTTTGTTTTCTTTAGAAAGAAATAATTTAAATAGATTAGAAAATGTTTACAGAAGAAAAGAGACAAAAGATTAATCGTTGTCAAATGATAAAAAACGGAATATAGTATTTTCAATTAATTAAGTAAATAGCTACAGAAGCTCTATATGATTTATACAATATTATAGATATACTATATATTTACTCTATACACCTTTTAATCATTAATATTCTCAATACTTTTCTCTTCATCCTTTATTTATTTGTTATTAATCTATTTATATAAATTAATTTATAAAAATATATTCATATATTTACATTCTTGTAAATATTTCGTAAATACATAAATATACAAAATTCTTTACATCTTTTAAGAATGCAATTCTTCAATATAAAACCTTTTTTATAAGTTATTCTATAGTTTTTTCTAAAAGTAATTGCAATCATTTCTTTCTAGCTGTTTTTCTCCGATAAGAGAGAAAAAGATAAAAGACGAACGAGGAGAAAAATGGTTGGTTAACTAACCAACTCGAACTAAGCTTTCAAATTTTATCCATATGGTATATATCGAAGTTATACAGAAAAGATAAGCAAATTGAGAAATAGAACGAAAGGAAGAAGGAAGATAGAAAGAGAAAAAAACATTATACAGTATAACATAGACATTACCATAAATCAAGTATATATGTAAATAAGAATATTTTACATTTTTATTTATAGATTACAGAATATTTTGAATTATATTTGTAAAAAAAGTTTTGTAATATAAGAATGATAAACTTTTACAATGTCATCAAATAACTCGTGTTCAAACTGCTTGAACAAGCTCATAAAATATATTGACCATATCTAAATTCAGTAGTATAATAAAAAAAAATGTAAAACAAGGGAGAAAAGAACAATGACGATTGATAGATTGACTAAAGAGACAGAGAGACAGACAGAGAGTATGAGAGAAAAAATGGGAAGCCTAAAAGAATAATTATATCATGCTTAATCACTGTCTGGTTTTCTTTTTTTTTTAAAAAGAAAACGTTATTAAGAATAAATTAATTAGAAGAAGAGAAGAAGAATTCTTGTATTAGAGATAAAAGACGAATTAAATGGTAAAGTTCGTAATGACAAAAAATTGAAAGAATATTAAATATTTAATGTTATTATAAAACTGAAGAGAAAACTTTTGTATCGAGATTACAATTAAATTTATATATCTATATTTCTTCCATTAAAAGAGAAGGAAAATGTATAGAAAAGAGAATAAAGAATACAGTATAGTGTTTTTATACTAGCATACAGTGTATATATATATATATATACTGTATATTTATATAGTATGCGTATTGCTAATCCTCTTGCGTACGAATACGTCATTTCGTTTATACAGTATATTTAAAATCTTGTATTGAATATAAATAGCAAATTACATAAAAATAAATATACATTTATTATTATTCTTAAGTCATTTTTGCACAATTTGTACAATTATGTTAAAATAAAATTGAATATTTTTTGCATAGTTTCAAAGATAAAAAGTAATAAGTAATAAAGAAATAATCCTGTTAGTACTACTTTCTAAATCATATATAATACGTTAATAAATCCTTTATCTTAATGACGATTAACCGATATTTCAATTAAAATATATTAAAAAGTGTTATTTTTGATAAGATATTATAGATAACCTACACTTATCGATCATTTTAAATGCCTTTATCCGCAAGTTTTATGACTCTGATAAATTAGTTAATCATTTACATATACATGTATTTTGTTCCCTAATCTTTACAGAATGTTAAATAACTTTCTAAATATGGTTAAATCTAGAAAGAATGCATTTCTATAGACTTTAAATCAAGTAAAAGCTGTTTTCTTATAAGAGTAGAATAATAAATATATTAGTATATTTAATAAATAAATAAAACATTAATGGAAGATACAAGATAGCAAAGAGAAAAGAGAGATATAGAAAAAGAAGAAGAGATGCAGAGTAGGAGAAAGATAGAGCATATAAATGTATATTATTTATGTATTAATTCTAAATTCTTTCTAATTTTCTCATTCTTCACTTTTCCTATTCTCATTTCGTCTATATACACATTTATTCTGAATAGAGATTTAATTGTTTTTGAACAAGTTAAATGTGAATATTTTTATTTTAAATTATGTAACATCATTAATATTTTATACAGGCCTATGATGATCTAAATTTCTTTCCTTCTTTTATCTATCTCGTTTTTTTTTATCAATTTAATAATCATTAGGAAGCTGAAGAAGAAAAAAAGAAATCTTTCTATATTTCTACTTTCTAATTCAGTTATTTTATTGTTTTTGTTGTCTTTTTTTCTTAATTTTACAAGTTTTTTTTGTTGTTGTTGTTTGAATTGAATAGCTTCAATTATTTAACTATGAACAAAATATTCAAAAATTTAATTAATATTAATATAAGCAAATTAGATAGATCTCTAGATTAAGCCAAATGTAATTGAATACGTTAAGTGAAAAATGATAAGAGAGAGTATTTCTTTTTTTTTTGTAAAAATGTTACAGGGTTAGGGAGATTAAAGATCGGAGGAAGATGCAGGTTGTTTTCTCTTGTCAACGTTTAGTTTATTATTCTCTTTCCTCTAAAGTTTCAACGATGTTTTATGGTTGATTTAGTCTCATGTATGATCGTGGAGGCGTTCAACTCCATTGTCTGATATTCTCGTACCATTTCTCTCCACTAGAGCCACTTGATGATATGCGGAATCGGACAGTCTTTTCCGTCCGCAGAAAGCAGCCAATCTGCCTCTGAACTGCTTACGAAAAGCGTAATAGATGACAAAATTAGCTGCGCTATTAGCGCAAACTATTAAGTTAGAGCATTGAAAGAAAATAAAGTAGGCTGACACGCAATAGTATTGTGTATGACCGATAATTACAAATAGTAATTGATTGAGAAAAGCTGGGGTTTGACAGAAGATAAAGACAAGCACGATGACAACCATAACTAGGGTTAAATTTTGCTCTTCGTCATCGTCTTCTCCTCCAATTGACCGTTTTAGTCTTCGATTACGAGCCGCAATAAGTTCCCTTATTAGGTGGGTATTTAAGAAGATGAGCAGGATTAATGGTATTAGTAAAACCACTAGTAAGTAAACAACCACTTCGTAGGTATATTTGTAGACTTTGTTCTGAACAAAATCCCGCTGTTTTGATTCCATATAAGTGGAATTTGGTAAAGATTCCAGTTTTACTTCAAAGAATCTTGGTATGCAGTAGACGACACTAAATAATACCAATAGACCAACTTGCAACCGTACTTTCCTCTTTGTACACAACTGATTGGCTCGAAAAGGTCGACAGATTGCTATGTATCTGTGGTTTATAATAACATACAAAAGAAATAAATCGTCTTTAACACCAAATTAGTAAACCCTATTAGTCTACCACTAATTAATATTAAATTAACGAATAAATAAATAAATTAATTAATTACATATATAATTATAATATTCATTTTCCCAGGCAATAAAGATATTAGATAAATTTCAATTGTTTATCATAACAACGAACACTAAAGACAGAAGTACTAGAATATTATAAATATGATAAAATGTCAATTATTATTTACAGCAAAGATATGAGATATATCTTTATTCTTATTTTGCTAATATTGAAATGGAATATTGATAATTTATTAAATAAGACTTTCTGTTCTCTTGAAAAGAAAACAACGCATCCTTTCACAATTATAGTAGCCTGAAAATGGTTTGATAAAGTATTTTAATATCTCAAATTACCTTTCACAGAGATGATAAAAAGCTAATAATTAATGATAAAAAATCACTTTCCGATTAAGCGTATTATCTCTTGTACAAAGTCACCTTTTTTCTTAGTAAAATCTTTAATTAACTACTAATATTCTTTTATACAAATAACTGTCAGTTTTATAAAGAATAATTCAACAGCTTTACTATTATGAATTTTTCAATTGAAAACCAGTATTGGATAAACAACGCTTCTATTCAAAGCATAGAAACTGATAGTTTCACCCTTCCAAAGATATAGGATGAACAAAAAGAAAATGGAGAAAAATTGGGAATAAAATAGAGAATAAATGATAATTTTATAAGTATTAGGCTATAAGTGGCTATTCAGACGTTATTGACAATAAACAGTGATTGTTTACAATTACCGAGAGCCCTGTCCTTCGATTAACGCTAAAAATAGCAATTAAACGATAAATTCTATTCGACTTTCACTTGTTCTAATCCCTTTTTAATAAATTATTACCTAATTAAAAAATAACAATATTTATTTAATAAAATTCTTGAGTCTCTTTAGATAGATTGTTTACTTGAATACAATCATTTTTGTCTTCTTCATTCTCTCTTTTAATAGATAAAAACTACCACTGTTTCTTCAACCGTCTTTTTCTTCTTCCTTGCTATTTCCCAATCGAATAGGCTGATGTTTACATTAGCTAATGCTTAATACTTAGTAGAAAGTTTTTGTTCAATATTTGCGAGGCCTATATTATTTACTTTGGTAACAACTAATCAAAAAAAGTTGTAAATAGGTAATTACATTTTCCCCTTCTGTAGTAAGATTTTATCCTACATATCCCTCCGTGTGAAATCTTTGATTACAAAAAAGTTCAAAAGATTCGATGATAATGATAAGAAAACTATGTAAACTAAGGATATGCATGATTAATTATTCACTCTTTCTATATAGACGAAATTTAGGACATATATCGTACTTCAAAGATGAAATTAATTGGGTATCTTACCTATTAAAGGCGACCAGAACCGTCATCCAAACAGTTAAGAATTGCGTTATGTGAACAAAAGGCCAAAATATAACTTGTATGTAGGGTTGAATCATATTCTTAATGGATAGTGCCTGTAAATATATGGTCATGGCTGGAAAGATTTGGCATATACCGGAAATGAAGAGAAATAAGGAATCTGTCAAGGCTAGGCATTGGAGTAGAAAAGTTGCAACTCGATTATGCTTTTCCCACGACAGAACCATAAAGGATAGGGTATTCCCTATAATACCAAATATTACTATAGGCCCAAATATTCCAACATAGATTATAAATAATACGCGACTGCATTCGAGTTCCTGATCTTCAACTTTCTCAGAAGGAGGAGCAGTAACATTCGAATTATTTAACATTTTTCGTTATTATCTGTAACTGTTTCTCTCCGCTCCGGTAAAATGTTTACATCTGAAACAATAATAAATAAGATACATGATATCTATTTAAATAGTAATCATTTTAAATTCATTACATGTACTGCAACAAATAGCGAATTAGTATACTTATTTGTATGTACATAATATGTATTCGAATAACAAATAATAGAAATTAGAGAAGTCTATGCTACGCTAGACATTTCAAAGTCTTCTAGGATTATAAAAAGGATACATTAAATCATTACATAATTAATATGGTATTTATCGTTATGCTTTCCCTGCTTAGCTCTTGGTCAAACTTGGTCATTCTATGAGTTTTCGTTCTTAATACAAGTATTAATTTAACAGTTATTAGGAAAATAACGAAAAGGATATTAAAGTCTCTAGGTCCCTAATTAATTAATATTGCATATAGGTAATCACAATGAGTTATCTAATAAATATATAATATATAAAGCTATCTAATTGAATAAATTATTTAGATATATAAACTGCATATAAATTATATACAGTATATATGCACCGATATATAAAAGTATTTATTAAAGCCTTTCCATCTTACTATTCCATCTTCCTTTGGCAACAACTCTAATCAATAAACTTATTAAGAACAAGGTCATTTGATTAATTAAATATAGAAAATTTCGCAACCGGTATAAGGCAATAATATATTTGAATGAATTATGAATGTTTGTATGTAAATTATTATATAAGATAATTATATTATATAATATATACAGTATATATACTGTATATATATATATAATATAAATAAATGTATATATATATATATATATACTGTATATATAATGTAGAATTAGAAAATCCTTCATTAAAATTATTCTAGGCAAGTATAATAAAATTTACTGTCCTCCAATGTCTTAACTGGAAATATATCCTGAACGATATTGAGCTATAAACTAATAAAAAATTCATTTTTCCCTCTTTTTGTAATTTAATATTTAAAAAAAATATACTAGGTATTTATATATTATATATAACATTTAAAAGTGTTTATTCTTCCTTTCTCTTTCTCTCTCTCTCTCTCTCTCTCTCTCTCTCATCTATGTCTCTATGTATTTAAGTACTCAAATGCTCTCTTCTTTTCCGTTCTACATACGTATTCCTTCATGTGTGAAAGGAGAAAGAATGCCAAACTCAAATTGTACTAGTTACAAAATAGTAAAGTACACCTAGAACTAATTGACAAAGACATTTAGACGCTAACATAGTCTTTTAATAATACGTCTCTTTATCATATATCCCAACATTGACTTTATCAGTTTCTCCCCAACTCAAAGTAAAAAGCCAGAATTTTCTAGTAATACAGTATTATCGAAAAATTCTCAATATGTGACCTTTCTATTCTTTATCAAAAAATTCTTTAAATTGCTAATTGACAATTAGAAAGAGAATTAATAATTTTTTATAAGAGACTTTCTCTATCTGCATTTTTGTTTTCAGCTGTCTCTTTCTGTCCCTATTTCTTCCTAAAAGGTCTGTATTACCCTCTCATTATTTATAGATATAGTTATTTCCATATCTTTATCCCTCTCATTTTCTTACTTACTCTCACATGCGTTCTCTTTCTTTTTCTCGTTTCCCTCCTACCGCTAACTGTTAACTATTAGCAGTTAACTAGAACCAGACATTTTGAATGGAAATTTCAACTGAAAAATAAGAAGCGGTCTGGTTTTTTTGTCAAGAGTACACGTTGAAAAAATCAAGTGAGAACAGTTATAGAATCTATGTGAGTGAGGAAAGATAAGTTTATACAGTATATATATATATATATATATATATTTTAGGCTATATTTCTCAATACCCTTTTATATTATATGAGATGTAAAGTCAATAAATAAAATATTTTTATTGTGGAATATATTTTCCCCCTCAATTTATTTTTTCTTTCTTTTCTATTCTAATTAAATACAGACTTTTGATCTTTATATCTTTACTTCGCTCCCAGTTTTCCTACTTTTACTTCCTTTCCCTTCTATCTGAAACCTTCTCTTTCTCTTAACATTTATCCTCTTACGAATAGCGAGTTAGCGGATATATATAAAATACGTCTTACATTTTACGCCTTATCCTAACTATAAAAAAGTCGTATCGCGGTCTGTCTGCTTACCGTTATCCTTATCTATATTGGCGGCTGTTGGACATATGTTCAAATTACCAAGTCATAAAATCCGCTTCCTATTACGCCTATAAAGAGGTGGATTAAAGGCGCGAAATTCATCTAATCTCTATCTCCTAAAGCAGGCCGACATTTTCCAAGATTGTTTACCCTCAATCTATTTAATAGGACTTCAATCTTGTTTAAAATATGCATGTTTGTAAAATACAATATTTATGAATGTTAGTCTATTGTAAAAGGAAAGATATAGCATACAATGCAATCTTAGCCAATGAGGAAATTTATCCCAGTCTTCGATTAGACCACCTACTGTAAAGGTTATTAAGTGACTGAAGGGGGTTTGGTGAGATGGGAGTGTTAAGATTTTTTTTTGTTTATACAAGGCAACCGAAGAGACAATCGGCGTCTAATCGATCACACTACAATCAATCGCTTCTTTCCTACGAAATACTTTCTCCTTTTGCATTAATTCTATCTTGTACAAATATCTCTTCTTCAATTTAATCATATTCCTTTCTGTCTCATTGGCTTCAGCCAACTAATCCTTTAATATTCTAATATAGCTTAAGAAAACCAACCAAAAACCGTAAAATTAACAAGATCAGAAAGGAAATGGATAAGAAATGATCCTCTTCTGCAAACTTATACATCAACTGTTAACCTATTCCATAGTTGTATTATTTCACTGTTTTCTTTCGTAAATAGGATTGGAGAGAGAACGAAACATTGTTATTCCTAATATTCCTTCTCCAATACATATACTAATATATATATATATATATATATAATATCGAATATCTTGAAGAATTTGGATAGGAAATAGGATAAATAAGAGTAAAGGGTAACAGAAACACAAGTAGGAAACTAGCGCATTTTGAAACGAATAAATAAACTCAAGTACTCCTCCTCTCCGAACCTCCGCCTTCCAACCAATAGCCTACAATCAGTACTACAGTAATAGAAACAATTCTAGTACAGAATATTACTACTTAAGAACAATTTCGCATATACTTTTATAAAAATCTAACCCGTATAAACCCCCTCTGGCAGCCTTCAATTTCTTCTACAAGTTATATAGGCAACCGAAAATATAAACGATTTGCCACGATATTTATACATAAATCGAAGAACTTGGTAAGGGTTGGGTGGGAGGGTAGAGTTGGAACCTTTACAGTTCTAAAAATAGATAAATGGAAAATAAATAAGCCTATAGCATTTTAATATCATATAAATATGATATAAAAAAGAGTAATATGTATTAGAAAAGTAAAAGAGTAAAAAAAAAAAAGAATTAATTATCTAGATTTAATAAAGCATTACTCAAAAAATTACTGTACGTGTTCCAAGCAGGAGAACTGGAAGCTCATACACATTCTCCTTTGTATACTTTTGTTAATCTAATTTCCACTTAACTTTTAGTTATAAAGAAAGACAAAAGGAAATATTAGTGTCTTTTTAGAATTTTAAAGGACAAAGAGCAGTTTTCTATCAACGAAAATTCATTAAAACTCTCTCCCTCTCTCTCTGTATAAAACATTCTTCTGTATGATATTTATGTATACTGTATATATATATAGAAACTATTTAATTTTAAACTTTAGGCCTAAAAAGCATTTTGCATTCAATAGGATTGACTTTAGCTGCTGATAAAGTTTAAGTATTTTATATTCACGTTTTAGATATACAATGCATATCATTTTTAATCCTCTCTAAATAATTGAAAGATAGGAAAAACAAATACGGGAGGAAACTGACTAGGACAATGAGAAGAAAAATTACCGGTATACTAATAAAATTATAAAGAATACTAAGAGATTACACGAGCTAAAGAGTAAATTAAGAAAAAGACAAGAAATGCGATGAACAGCGTATAATTTTAACAATTGTCAATATCATCTCATTAGGTTAATAGGCACAAATTTATGATCTTTTACTCTGTCAGGTATAACAACTTAGTTTTTTTTCTCTCTCTCTTTATTATTTTTGTTTTAGAAAAATCAATAGGCCTAAAGATCCTCTTTTCTTCTTCTGTCTTTTTGTCTCTCATTCTTTCTGTCTTTCTTTCTTTTTTTCTACCCGGGCTAAATGTGATGGATGAAAATAAACACGTTTGACAATACGATATTAGAGGGTAATCTCATAATACAGATAGTGTTATCAATAGCAGAAACGCTCTCTTTTCTTTCTATAGGTCTTTCTTTTTCTGCATCACTTAATCGGATTATTCCTACAGTTTTTCAAATTGTATTTGTAATTTTCTCTATACAGAAAAATAAATTTAGAAAGCCTATTAATCTTTATTTAAAAAAAAAAAAAAGAGAGAGAGAGAGAGAGAGAGAAAAAATAATTAATGACGTAATTTTCAGGGTTGAAATAGGAGTAATTCAAGTCAATAAATAAAATTTTCTTGTTTTTTATATATTTAAAAGGATTATAAATAGACCCGAACTGATAAGTGCCTAAAAATTTTTTTTTATTGCTAACTAATCTCTTTGACAACTTATCCCTAAATATAAACGTTCTTTTATACGTTTACATAGTAAATAAGCTCAAAAACATACGTCTATAAATTTCACAAATTTACAAGTTGTTAAGCACTAATCAGATCGAACAAAAGAGACGTTTTTATTAGGTTTTTTATATAATAAAAAAAAAGAGACAGATAAATAGATAGACAGACAGAGAGACAAAATGAGAGAGAAAGAGTGATATGAGATAAATACTTTATAGAAAGGAAAAGATGAACAAATGAATAAAAAGGAGAAGGAAAAAAGAATGGAAAGAATAAACGACTGAATGAATAGATACAGTAAATATAAAAAAATTCAATATTTTACTAGTTAAATTGAATGATCACTTCCCGTTCAAACTTCAATATTGTTATCTTGAAACTATAAAATTATACGTAATGTACCTTTCTATATTAATCCTACAACTTAATATAATAAGTGTAAATAAATGTTGTACTTACTATTTTAATCCCTTTCTAAATAAAGAAATAGTTTTAATCCTCGTTTCTTTTACAGATGCTTCTTCAAAATTTATATAAAAACAAAACTTTTGAAAAAAATGTAAATCAAAAATCCTCAAAAGTTATCAGTATTATTAGTATTTTCTTGTAATTTTTTAATTTCCTTTTCCTTCTATCTTTCTCTGTTTTTATTTATCTTAATAAAAACAATTTTTCAACTTTTTTTTCTTTTTAAAAAAAAAAAGCACAAAAAATATTTTTTATTGATAATTAATGGAGATGACGTCTTCTTCTTTTCTCCCAATTGATTACTAAAGAGGCTATCTTTCTTTCTTTTTTTGTTATTCCTCTTAAACTTTTCTCGTTTCTTCCTCGTTTACCAAATAAGGAAGAGCTTTATTTGAGATGATAACAAGTATATATATATATATATATATGTATACATATACACATATACATTTAAATGTATATATACATAAGAATTTAATTTATTTAGTTAGTTTGGTTAGTTTCTCTTCCTGTTAAATTGATGCAAAACGCTTTTGCTGACTTATTATTCTTTTAATGCCAAAATACTTAGTAGGTAGAGTTTTTTTTTAGAGAAAAATTGAGAAAATTCTGTCCATTTAACTTTCTATAATGAAAAGAAAAAAAGTTGTTTACTTCTTCAGGAGTTTATCTTCAGGCTAGTTTCCATTTCCAATTAAAGAGATAAAAGAATTATTCAAATAGTTTGACAATTAGAGAGAGCTGGAATCAACAGTCTCGTCGCCGAGAGTATAATATTAACGATTCAAAGCATTTTATCACTAACGCCCTCGCACAGGTATGATGACTATTATCTTTGAAACTATTATACCGCCACCTATTTTATAAAATCATCTTCTACCGCTTCTACTACGTCGCCATCTAGCGCATAAAGAGATAAAATTGCTTTCCACTTCCGAATGCTCCGGCCCTATGACATGTTTGTCATTACTATTTCGCTTGTATAAGCAGTAAAGTTATAGCATAGGCTGTGTTTTTAATATATCGCAAAAGAAACTGATACACTTAATATAAATATATTAAAATCATAGCAGAAGTAAAGTGAATAAAACAAATGAAGAAAAATAGCAAAATGCAGTCAATAAATTAAAATGAAAAAATCAATCTCCCATGCATTTCTAGTTGTCCGTCCGATATCAGAATTTTCTTCTTTTTCCAAATTTATCCTCTCTTTTTTTTATCCTCCCTACCCTTATCCTACTCCTCCATTTTTACTTCTTAAGCAAAAATTTTTACAACCGGAAAGCATTGCTTTGCCATGCGAAACGTTTGTCAGTTTTTATCTTTATAGCAGGGTAAAAGTTACGGATGAGAGAATAATTATTGCTCAATTATCGGTTTTGAGCCTAAGTATTTCTTTTTTATTCATTGGAATTTTTGCAACAAACAGAATTTAATAATAATAATAGTTACATCATTCCATCTTTGTTTGTCACCAAAAGAAAAAGACAAACATATACAAAAATTATGCATTATCTTTTTAAAGAGTGTATTTTAAAAAACAAATGATTTTTACACTTTTTTATTATGAAATAAAGATATGGTTTCTACTGGGATGGAAAAAGAAATTAATCAAAAAATAGAGGTTAAAAGGAAGAGGAAATCGAATTCATCTTCTATAGTAAATATTTTAAAAAGTTTTTACTTATGCGGAATATATCTATATACAATATATATATATATAAAAACTTTCAATAAGAAGATTAGGAAGAAGAGCGGGGCGGAGGAGGTGGAGAAGGTATAATTGAATATAAAAACAAAAGAGGAAAAAGACCGGTAAAGCGTTCAAAAAAAAAAACTTCAATTGTTGTTAATCATTCATTTTCTTCTTCCGCTTGTTCATTCTTTTCTTGCTGTTGTGTTTTTAAAAGCTAAATTCTGTAGTCTTATTTTTTTTTCAATAAATATTTTATAACACGACTGCAATTATTTTTAAAAAAAAAAATATGTATATAAACAGTATATAGACTTAGTCTATTAATAAGTTCTTTCCTTTTTATAATATTATAGTATAGCGCATCTTATTAGACGAACAAAGAAAATTCAATTAATCGTTCGTGTTCATATTAAATTTTCTTTCTTTGCTTTGTATAATAATTTCAAATGATAGAAACAACAATGATAGGGAAAAAAGCAGATAGATAGATAAATAAATAGACGGATTGTCGGATGGAATAGAGAGAAAACAATGAGAAATGGAGTTAGAATACAGGCATATATATAGTATATACTGAAGATCCTGTTTTTATATTTTGCTTAAGCAGAGTTTAATAATGTTAAATTATTATTATAAACAGTTTTTATCTCATACCGGCCTGGTCACCTAAATATAAAATAGCTACAGATTTCTATATATAAATATTGGACCATTTAATGGACAAGCTAAAGAAAAAAGGGCAATTAATGCAAAAATTTTATAGTTATTGAAGGCTTTAATCTAGTCTACCATTTGAAGAGGTCTTAAACCAATTAATAGAAGGTTCAATACCTAAGAGACAAAGAGTGCGCTTTTAGCTTCTTTAAAGAATTTATATATTTATGTGTATACAAGCGAGAGGGAACAGAGCTATTATATACAGCATATAAATTTATATACTGAATATATATATATATATATATATATGTGTGTGTGTGTAAATTAATCCATAAGTTGCTGTGTATGTGAGTAGGAAGGAGAGCTTAATGAATTAGCTTTATAAGTAATAGTTGTATTGAAACTATAGTAAAGTGAAATTTAATTAATCTAATCCTTCTTCTATCTGAACTATAATATATTATATTGATAATAATCTAATAAAGTTTATTCTCGGCTAAGGATTCATTAGAAACCAGGATTTATATTTGAAAGGACTATTCTGCCACCAACATCATGCTTATACTTATTGATTATCTTCTTCGCGATAATCTATATAATTCTTCATAATAATAATCTTTCGTATTTTATGAACTTTAATACATCCCCTTTATTCTTTCTCTTCTTCTTCTTCTTACTCTCTCTTTCTTTCTTCTTCCTTTCTTTCTACCCTTCTGCACCAGTATTATCTACCTTTAAACAGCATAAATCGTATAAGAGAAGCCTTTGAAAGTCCTACTGATTTAACGTTATTAACAGATATATACAGATTGGAGTTAAAAAGAGAAGATTATTTCAAAACCAATTCAAGGCTTTGTTTATGTTCTATTTTGAAAAGTAGCAAACGTAAAAAGTATCATATAGTTTGTAGTGAGGGAAATCAATTAGCTAGAAAGGATTAATTCCTTGTTTTCAATTCTGGTAGAACGATTAACGATTTACCGTTCGTGGTATAATAAATTTTAATAGAAAAAATTCATTCAGCCTTAACGGCTTAGATTTTTACAAGAGATGAAAATCTATTCGCAAATAAGAATCACGAAGTAAAAAAAAAAAGGGTGGGAAGAAAGGTCGAATAAAAGTATGGGGTTATAAACTATAGGGCTATAAACTATGAGGATAAAGGAACAGGATGGAGAGAAAGCCGACGGTATTGTACTACTAAAGAGTTTAAATGACTCTCGTGACGGTCATTTCATTCTTCTGGCGTCGAATTTTAGAGAAATTGATATACTATGGTTAAATAGTATCTGTGGAACGGTTATCTCTTGTCTCATTCCTCTTTATTTTTCTTTGCACCATTCTAAATCTTCTTTTATGCCTTGGTGAAAAGACTTAAATGATTATTTATCAAACTTATTTATTTATACAATAACCCTTTTTCGCACCAATTCACATTTCTTGTAGTCTTAATGAGGAGACACTTTAGATAGACGTATTAATATTAAAAAAGAACAGTCTCTTTAATTAAATTCCATATGATTAGCCATTAGTGAATACTTAATAAATTTTCTCTGATTAGCTGTGACTTTGCCTTGTTTTTTTGATTGTTTTTTAGTGAATTCTTAAAAGAAAAAACACCCCTTTTCTCCTTAACTCGTTTCATTGTGTAAATGATCATAGAAGGAGAATGAAATTTGACAATTCATTACCTCTAATAAGCTATTCGATAATTAGGATACAATCTCCTTTTCTTTTTATCTGTTTTAGAAATTTTTCCCAGAAACAAATAATCGACGTTGTAAAGCCTCAAGCGTTAGAAAGAAAAAAAAATGGAGGAACAACGCAAGTAGACCCTCGACGACCTTGAATTACGTTTTATTGCGGTTAGCTCAGCTATCTCGTGCGGTACTTCTTTAAAAAAAAATTACAGGCGTCTAGTAAAAGCGATTAGTTTTTTTTTTTAAATCTTTCCGTTAAATAACACTTCAGACGTGATGTCTGGAATAGAGGCGTCGCATCCTCATTAACAAGTTTAAAGCTTTTATTACATAGAGTTTATTCGACAAGTGAAAAATATTTTCAATTTTCATTCTCCTCATTCTTTTTTTAATTAATAAAAAATCATATTCCTTTTAAATAAACAGAGAATTAAGCGACAAAATAACACGAATGGACTATAATAAGATTAAAATTGAATTTTGACAATTTAACAAGTTTTTAAAGAATTAATAAGAATATAGTTTATTATTAAATATTAAATATGAATCATTTATCTATCCTTTTAAGTATTTATTATGTTTGTAGTTTGAAAAAATTAATGATCTCGGAGATTTATTTACTTTTTCAAGTACTCAAGCAGACTTAACAAACTTAAGATAGAAGAGTAATGAATAGGAAAAATGACTCTTTTTTTCTGCTTGATTACTTTTTCAATATTCTTTACAAGAAACTATCTTCTATGACTTCATCTTTATCCTCCTATTCTCCTCTCCATTATATAATATTATTATATCGATACAGAGACAGTAGATAAGAGAAAAACATGCATATGAGAGAGATAAAAGTGAGAATATCTATTTATTAATAAAATATGCCAAAGTTAAAGTTTGAAAGAGTTCCATCTTGAATTAAAAGCGCTTGAACATTGGAAAATCAGAATCCATCGCATCAGTAAAAAGGTAAACCAAAGATATGAAGATATTATCGGACATTTAAGCCATTTGGGACATCTTATTCGAAGAGTGTTTTTTCTGGAAAGTTTGCGGATCAATAGAATGTTCCATTTAGCCTTCAACATGTTAATCCCCACAAGAAACGCCGGTAAGATATTTTTAGGATCAAGAGCTCCTCTATCAACCTCTGAAATGTGAATATTTGCGTTATCTCCAATGCTAACCTCTTGCAATGTTCTACATTTTTTTAATTATTGTCACGGCTTGTAGATTTGATATTAAATCTAAGTTTATTGTCTGTTTCTCTTAAAAGTATAATGTGACAAAGTTTCTATTAAGGTTTGGTGGTCATTCAGGTTTATCATCATTATATGCTACACTTTCCAATTATCAAAGATCAAAGACGAATTTCCCAATTGTATACCTTTAAAACTTTCGGATGAAGTACTTTCCACGTCAAAATTTATAACATTGACGTAATATATAAATATAGATACTAATATATACTTATATGTATATATATATATCGTCTTATAGAATCCATTGACGTTTAATAGTCTATATTATTAAATTTAGCTTGATCTAGGCATGTAGTTTGGCACTTGTAGCAGCTTTATACTAATAAAATTTTTTCTGTCCCAGTTTTCTCCTTTTCCATCTGTAAAAAAGAACGTAAAAGAAACAAAATTCAACTGAAGAGAAAAGAAAAGCTTGTTCTTGTCTGAGACTCGAAATATTTCAAGACGCAAACTTTGATCTTTCGACATTTAG